AAAAAAAAAAAAAAAAAGAAAAGAAAAAGAAAGAAAGGATATACTCAAACCATGGCAGAAACCAAAATTTTTGGAGGTGTGCTTTTTCATTACCTGAAGCTCTTCCTCCTACAGGTTGTATGCTGAACAGTTCCCCAGGTGTGCCACCTCCCCCTGCCCAAGACCTTCTGGGCTGAGCTCCAAGTAACAATGTGTTGTTTCTCTCTGTGTGTCACAGCCCAGTTCAATGGCAATGAGAAACGGCAGTCATCCCCCTCACCTTCGCGGGACCGGCGGCGCCAGCTTCGTGCTCCTGGAGGGGGCTTCAAGCCTATCAAGCACGGGAGCCCCGAGTTCTGTGGGATCCTGGGAGAAAGAGTGGATCCTGCTGTCCCACTGGAGAAGCAAATGTAAGTTCTATGAGGGCACAACCCAACCTCACCCCAGTTCCTGTAGTCACTGAGAGCACCTAAGAGTCAGGGGCCTTTTGCCTGACCCTGCTTCCACTCGGTGGCCAAATCCCACCCATAAAACCCCTGGATTCTGGTACCTTTTTCGTCCTCAATGCCTCCTGCACTTTGCTTGGCCAGGCCTTTTCCTACCCATCTCACTGGGCCGTGATTATCTCCCTCATCTGCTGGGGTCTCAATGTGCAGATAGATCCCTGCCCCTCACGGAAACCTTCAGCAGCTGCCCAGTACCTCCACAACAAAACCCATCTCCCTAGCCTGCCTGATCTAGGGTGAGTTTTGCCCCAGACTGCTTTTTCCATTTCTCACCTTCCCACATACCTGAACTAGGGTGAGTTTTTCTGGGATGGAATCTTGTGCTGGTACCTTTAGGTGTATCTGCTTAACAAGCAAATATGCCACAAAAGGGATTAGCATCCTGACTGCACACATGAGAACATCAGGGCCCAGAGTGATGCAGAAGTTGGCCAGGACCCCTGCACCCCAGCCTTGTGATCTGTGCCCCAACCTTCACTTACTCTCCCACTCCTCACATGTCATTCATCACTGATCCCGGCAAACACAAATCCCAAAATAGGCCCTTCTTAGGGCCAAGACGCCAGTGTACATTACCTACTGTATTAGTTTTGGCCCAGGGCATTCTGGTATTGCACAGTCAAGTGTGTCACCTCATAAGAAAGGCTCACTTGCAGAACAGGATGCAGGGTTTTCTGAATGGTGTCATGTGCTGTAACCACATGTTGACCTAGGAGGCTGCAGTCTCCTTCATGGCTGCCACTCCAGCTCACTGGGGTCACTGTAGGAGTGTTAATCAAGGCAGGTTTTGCTTAGTTCTACTTAAAATGTGCACTTTTACAAATCAACAGAATATGATCCAGAGATGCCTAGAAGCTATTCCATGTGCATCTTGACAGCAGTGTCTGGGGAGGCCCCAGGTCAGCCTGGGACTAGCCTGCCTTCTCTCAGCTGCTGGACCAAGCCTTAGTTCCAGGCAGCTGTGCTCCCTTCCTTTCCTATTCCCACCAGACAAGGGCCTCTGCCAAGTCCAGTCATGACTGGCTTTCCTTCTTCCACTGCCTCGACTCCCCAGGATTGTCCTGGCCTTTCAGAAACCCTAAGTCATCACTAAGAGGTGTATGTAGGTAAACCCACTTCTAGTAGAGTACTAGGAAGATGGGAAGAATCTCCCATCCTTCCCAACACCTTAGCGCCCTGGGTGATGAGGCTACAGAGTTAAAGTAGCACCTTCAGGCCCAGACCGCTCCTCCCCTTACCCACCTCACCTCCATTCTGCGTCATCATTACCACCAGTATGCAAACATTTTCTGCCCCTGAACCTTATCTAAATGAGTAAATAAAATAATTGACCCCTATGCTCCTCTATCTATGGTTAGGCTGCCATTGAATCCTCATTGCCCAGCACAGTTATAGGTGCTCAATAAATGGCTGTCAGCTGAATGAAGTCCCCAAAGAGCTGTCAGTACTTCTGTGTGCTCCATTACCTCCCTTTCTCTTTCACTAACTACAGCCACCTCCCTCTTTCTATCTGAATCCCTACAGTCTCCCCAGCTTGCAGCTCCTTCCTGGGGCTCCTACCCCGCTGGCGTTCTTTCTACCTAGTCGGTGACTCCTGGCCCCACCTCCCTGTCAATAGTGTCACATCTGTCTGGTTAGGGCTCAAGCCGCATACCTGGATTCTTCTTGATTCCTCTTTTTGCCTTACTTCAGCAGCTGCTGCATTACCAAGGTCTGCTGCTAGTCCTTCCTGCAAAACACCACCAGAGCCAGGCATGATGACAAATGCCTGTAACCCAGAAGAATCACAAGTTAGACCCCACTCTGCGCAACTTAGTGACTTAGCAAGACTGTGTCTCAAAATAAAAAATAAAAATAATTGGGGATGTAGCTCATTTCAAAGGTCCTGAGTTCAGTCTCCATTTTATGCACACACACACACACACACACACACACACACATATACATGCACACACTCATACATACATACATATACAATATACA